TTCTTGTTTATAAACATACAACAACATTGCAAATAGCCCAAAAAAGTTCAATTCACAGTTCAAACAAACAACTTACCAGCAACAAAATATTCACCGCCCGCATTTGGCCGTCAAAATATCTCAAAAGCAGATTTCTACCACAAGATCTCCGAGATCCCAGAAAATTTCCTCCACTTCTCTCCTTTTTCCCGGTCTGGTGTTGTCCAATGTTGCCAGATCCGGTTTTCTCGCCCCTGGCGGACTACTCTCCGCTGTGCTGACCGGCACTGCGCTCCACTGGGTTCGCGGGCCGACTGAAAACCCCTCACCGGCATCGGGTGGAGGTCGAGCGGGCACCGGGTGTTGGAATGGATACCGGGTGACCCTGCCCTGAGTCTGAGCCCCGCCCAGCAATACGTGAAGTAGTCGTGCCATGCGGTGTCTATCCATACACTTCTCCCTTGGACACAGCTAAACTCTGCCTTTTGGCAGTCGAAATAGCGACACTGGGTCGTCAAATCGAATGGGTTAAAAATTGCCCGCTCGATATGACGAATACATGGATAATTAGCCTCCTGTATAAGAGTGGTATGTTTGATGTGTTCAATTAATAAACAAATGAATATATAATATGTAGGGGAAGCGGGGGGACCACCGCCACTGTGGGAAACACCGCCACCCCATCTGGCGGCGAAAGTATGCAATGTGAAGTGCAAAAATCCGTTATTTCCTATTAACCGCACGAAGGTAAGCGTCTTCTGATTTGTGTTCCGGTGATTCAGTGTAATCGAAGCTTAATGTGGGCATTTAAAGAAAAATGTACATTCTCTTATAAAAATTCGATGAGTTGGGAGCACTTTTGAATGTCTTTAAGAAGAGACTCATTTTGATTTACTTGATTACATCGAAAAATAATTGATCGGCTTTGTCCAGTAAGATAAGTTTGCTTGAACCGTGTAGTACATTCTTGCCGCTGGCGATTTTTGCTTGTGATCACTTATTGGGGAACACCGCCACCCCGTGGCGGTGTTACCCCGATTGAGGTTGCGGTGTTTCCTGTTCGTAGCGTGATAAGTGATGAAACTCCCAAAGAGACGCTTTTTTATGTTCGTAGATGTTCCTAAGTCGGGAATAAGCAGCTTATTTGATCTTTTACTTTATATTTTTCATGCATCCCAACCAAGCACTTGCCAGCTGTATAAAGCTGGCAAAAAGCTGATGAACCTATACCTATTTAGGTGTCCATTACCGATTATTTGCGAAAATTACCACTTACCGACAGGAAACTCATCGCACGCGATCTCTGAACAATTAAAAGCTTTCTTAGGAATGGGTTGGGTTAACATCAACACCGGTGGCGGGGTTACCCACACAATTTGTAGGCGGCAAATATGCAAGGTATTTTTAAAAGTCGTGATACATGAAAACCTTTTAGGAGCATGCAAAATAAGTACCTAAAACACGTGAGAAAATGTTTAAATATTGTAACCAAGACAATAACTACCAAGAGACTTCACACATATTCTCTCATTTTGGCGAAAAGCTTAGGGGGGCGGTGTTACCCCCGCTTCCCCTAATTGCACGTTTTGTACCGCGTCCAATGGTTGTTTAGGGCAGTTTGCAAAAATGATTTGTTTTTAAAGTGCAACATCTTGCATTCAAAACGATCCTGCACGGCTCTTTTTTGATGGCGATATCGATGATTTTTTTTTTAAAGAAGACTCAGTGATGTATAGACTTGAATAGAATAAATAACCCGCGCCCCGTTGGGCTCTGCCGAGCAACGCGCCCTGTTGGGGGGGGGGGCAATTTGGCCCCCCCTTAAGATCTCGAGAACCACGCAACCTAGCGACAAGCGGCAAACGGTGTTGGATAGCCCTATCAGGAACCTACCTTGTGACCCAATTTTATTGACCTAGGTCAAACCGATTACGTCACAGATCAGGTCAAAGGTCGAATTTTCACCGTTTACAGGCATTTCAAGAAATGCGTTGTAAAATCGAGTAAAATGCATTTCAATGAAAATCATCGACAGGGACATGTTCTTCAAACACATATTTTGCTATTTGAGGTCACTGATACCAGGTCAGGTCACAGAGGTCAGGTCACTGGGGGTCACAATATGAAAGTGTCGTGTGATGCATGTTTTATGGTCCATTTTACATGACAAATGCGATTATGTGGGTCTGGCAGCCTTTGGGGCCAGCTTAGGTCACGTTTTGGTCAAGGTCAGGTCAAGCTCAGGTCAAGGTCAGTTCAAAATAGGTCAAATTTCAAAGCTGATATTTTTGCATTAAATGGATATCGATTCGATGCAGCTTGTCACGGGGAGTTCAATGGTGGTCTTTGTTTTGCTCTACGTCGTCTAGAATCGCTAAAAATTGAGTTAAAAAATTTGACGTCATCATTTTTGAACAGTTTTGTCGCTATAACTTGGCCAAAAACGAGATATCGATCTGAAATTTGGTATGTATATAGAACAGCACAGGGACTATGACATATATTCCGGTTTATTCGAAATTCGGATTTTGTGGATTTTTCTTAGTTTTTCTAAAAAATATTTTTTTTTAAAATTTTTCGGGGTTAATAACCCACAATTTTGAAAATCCGAGATAGCAGTCTTGTAGCGCCGCTTTTTGTCTACTAGACCATATAAAGAACCTTGAAATTGCTTGGTAACTGTAGATTTGGTGAGCGTTTCAAGATTGCATGTTTTTTGCACATTTTTGCTCGAACATGACCTCAGTTTGACCTCAATAACTCCTGACCTAAGGTGACCTAAGACTTGAAATTTTGTGTGAAGGTGTCAAATTGATGCCCGGGAAGGTACTGAGAATTTGGCGGCGCTGCGCGCCGCCGTTATCTTGCTATTCAGGAAAAAACACTGGGGGTGGGGCCAAATTACCCCCCCCCCAACGGGGCGAGGGATAATATGCTTAAACATGCATGAAATAAGAGAGCAGCATGAAATACAAGCACAGACATCTTGGAAACAACAGCCGCCAATGTCATGAAAAGAATGCTGCGTCTCAATACTTGCATTCTCATGATGCGGAAGAGAATGTGTCCGTTTTTTATCAACAATGTATCCCGTCGCTACTGATCACAGGGACGGGATATACAGCCAACTGGCTGACCTTCTGATGTTCGGCCCCACCCGGCCCAGCCGCGGCCGTCCGGTACAGGCCCGTATGATAGTCACTAACTGGTACTAGTATGGTAACTGGTACCTTACCGTTACTGGTAGCATATGGCAGCGGTCTCATCCCAATGAAAAGTGATAGTGGAACGGAAAGTGGTGTGATTGGTTTGTATAAAACTAGTGCGCATTTAATGAGGTGATGTTAGGGCCAAGTAAAGCTGCATATACCACGACACGGTGTATTGTGCTTCCAGTGACAGAAGACCCAAGCACGGACACGGCGACCCGCCGACTGACCCAGTCCGGTCACGGTCGCGCCCTTATATAACCACGGCACAGAGCGCATGCGCGGTGACCGCGCGGCGGTCAGGCGGCTCGCCGGCCGGACGGCCGGGCCGCCGACCCATCCTGTTCCACGGCCCCACACGGCCGGTCCGCGGTCACAATATCCCAACAGTGAGATGTTCGGCAGTGACGAGAAGTGGCAGCTCACATCTACACTCTCCTTTTTATGGTGGTCGGTGGGAGCTGGTGACGAGATCGGGAGCCACTAGAACAGGTCACACTCTGACTTCCGGGTGGAATGGCGATCAAAACCGGGCCCTGCTGCTCTCACCAGGGGCCAGGGCTGTCATATAACGATTGCTTCAGCTAGAACACTTCATACAGAAAATCAACGATTTGTCACAACGCTAGCCAGATAATTCAACGCTGAACTGCACTGAGTGCTCAGTGCACATCACTGGTGATACGCTTCTATGCGAATCTGCAGTCTCTCGCGGGCTTCCGCTGATCTCAGTCGTGCTATTGTCTTATGTTTCCGTGCAGTCTCTGTGCTCCTCTTAGTTCTGTGGTTGAGTTATTGTCTTATGATCACGCGCAGTCTCCACCCGCTGCCGGCTCTCGGCTCTGTAGCGGTGTTACTCTCTTATGATCACGTGCAGTCTCCAGCCGCCGCTCGCCCGTGTTGTAAGTTATTGTTATGTGGCCACATGCAGTCTCCACCCGCAGTCATCCCGGCTCTGCGGAGTTACTCTCTTTTGCTCACATGCAGTCTCTTGCCGCTCGTAGTGCTATTGTCAATGGTCATTTCAAACCTTTCATATGTAAGCTCCCGTGCAGTCTCCACGCTAATCTGTTTCCCGATTGGTGTTAGTTTTATACGAGCACGTGCAGTCTCTCGCCGAATACCCCACTCTCGCCCCGCCGGCTCGTAGTGTTGTCATACGCTTGCCTGCAGTCTTCAGGTCTACGCAGACTCGGGGACATGCTATCGTAAGATTTCAATTCCTTTGCCGGTGATAGTTTGAGGAGCAGCTGTGTGATGTTAACAACTTTTTTTTTATCTGAGCTAACAGTACCAGTAGTTTTTTTTCTTTCTACTTAGTTGGGTACTTATGAGAAGCGTTAGGTTAGTCCGTGGTTGCATATCGACTCCAGCATATCAATGCGCTGGTTCACCCGACCGGTTCCCCGAAAAAATACTGAAATTTCATCCGTGACCCGTGTGGTACTTGCAAGTAGATATCACGAATAAATACATTTCATGTCAGTCTGCAAGTGCGTTTGAGCATGCTTAGATTGATCGATAGATAGCATAACTTTATTTCGTTTATCAAGACACGCACAAAAACAATGATAGCCAATTGGTGTAAAAGCATTTTTGCCTAAATCGCAGCAACTTTCGGCTCTTAATGCTATTGCCCGAGTCGGATCACCTCACCACACGCACGCCCGCGCCGCACCCGCAGCGACCGCCGCCGACCCGCCCGACCGCTCGAGCGCGCTCCCGCTCCGGCCGGCCCGAGCTTCTGTAGCGGGAACTTACGAAACTCCTTCGTGCGTGTGAAACCGCCACATAATCACAAATAAAAAGGTATTTGTCTTGTTTGTACATATATTCACAATATCGAATATATATTCGCAATGTTTTCAGACAGGTCGACCATCCATTCACACCATGAGAAAAGCCAATATCTGGGATCAGATAGGCGACGAACACAAAACATCCAAATCATCACCTTTTTTGAAGAAGAAAACAAAACACTGCTTCGGATACCGATACAATTCACACAAATCTGCCAAGTGTTTGACAATTTGTCAAATTGCAGTACATTAATGACTGAATAGAAACCAGTTCCAACGACACATCTGAAAGACGCGTGAATGAAAAAAGACAAACCAGTGATGTCTATATAAGAAAACTGGTAACGGTTTCATGAAAACCGGCTTATTTTTCAACAATCGTTTATCAGGCACGACCCCCTTCCCCCCAAAACGAAACCGCACGATACCTACACCAACAATATCGCCAAACATTTGCCACTTTGCCCAACACCGCGCCAAAAACCGAACAAATCCGCTCACACCGCCAAAATTCCGCCAAATATCAGCTAAACAGTTGCAAATTGACGAGAAAATCGCCTAAATATTCGTTAAACATTCATCAAGAGCCACTTATGACCGCCAAGAACACGCCCAACATTCACATGACAAACCGAAAATCGCCAAAATACACACGTGTACAATATTCTGCGACCAACCCCACCTCTCATTGTAGAGCGGGTCGGCGTGTGCACATCAGCGCTCCAGCGGACGGCTGAGTAACCTCAGCTTCTGCCGTCGGCCGGCAGATGGCAGGCGGCTCGCCGGCTCGGCGGAGGCGGGCGTTCAGCCATAGAGGTGTTTATCTTTGGCCACCTCTTGTGTGCGGCGCACGATGGCGGCATTTCTGGCGCGAATTTTGCGCAGGTGGCTTTCGAGCGGATCTGGCGCAGTGGCGGCAGTGGCGGCGCGGCCTAACGCGACAAAGACAAACATGGCACGGTCAAATGGGGTCGATACAGATTACGGAACGAACTCAGGGTGGGGGAAAATCTCGGTCGCTCCAAATGCACCATCTGTAAAATGTAGTGTAAAATTGCACATCACATGCCAAAGATTGCCATACTGTCAGCCTTCAAACAGTCAAACCTGTAGAGAAAAGGCAAATACATCTGACAGAGCTACATCACCCGCCTCCAATGCGCACATAGTCGACCTGTGAAAGACAGAATAGGGAGGGAATTTGAACAAACAATACAAAGACATTATGTGGATTCTTTGCTGGCAGACAATATTGAATCCCTGAGGGTTCGATACGTCATCAGAAGCTGTAAAACGACGAGCAGTTTCATGAAGGAAAACCTATCACTAATCGCACAACACTTCATATCGTAGTGCATTACCACAAAATCCACTACATTGAGGTTACCATCGTAGTGCATTTGGCGAAATGCACTACGGCGTAGTGCAGAGTTACCGTGCCGGGGTTTCCGAGTCGGCTCCGTCACCATGGCAACCGATGGGATATCCAATGGCCGCGCCCCACGGATCTGTCCGACTGCCATCGACTCTTGCCTGCAGTGGTAAATACTCTACATGGGAAGCGCACATAACAGCAATGCAACGGCCATCAGGATACATGCGGGCTTTGTGTGCTAGAGGGACTATAGCCCGGCAAACGCCAGAAAGAACAGAACTGAAGCGCCTTAAAACACTTAATATGTGCATTGGTCTTTGGAGAACGCACATATGTTTGAGAGAAGATTTGATATTTAGACTACAGAAGATTTGAGATTTGAAAGTACAATATTGAGGATAATCCTCTCGGGCGTATAGGAAGTTAGATACAGACAAAAGCATCAGTAACCGTTGCACTTTAAATCCGTTCTGTCTCAGGTTTGTCAGACTAAAGTAAGCAAGCCAGCGATACACAATAAACGATACAATGGACAGAAAAACACAGTTCAGTTTCAGAGGCGGTCGGAGCATGCAAAACGTAGCAGAGGTAGAATGGCTTAGATCTACGACACAACGCGCATATACGAACAGCGCAACGACCATCACAGCCTCAAACACGCTTATTATCAATTCAATAACATAACAGCGTATCACATGTGACATTGGAATCACATTGAAAGACACGGGATCGGTAATATGTCGAGAGGGCGCGAATTCTAAGCTACAACCATGTGCAAGAAATGGACGGAAGTCAAGATATACGGTACAAATATTCCCCTATGACACTGATAACAACATATCTGCAAAAACAGTGCTTTCGATGATATTGCTGATGAAAATCTGACATTTTATGGCACGCATTGAATAAAAAATTGCACGAAAATCAGATACATATCAATAAGTTCAGATAGACAATACATTCTACAATCATGCAAAGAACAACAGCAACAGAAGACAATAACACTACTGTTATATTATGGTGATAACATTATATCATGGTCAATTCCATCAAAACATGCGATGTCTTTCAGACACATTTGATGTGTTTCGACAAATCGAACGTAAAACCGCCTATTTTATAAACGTGGAACAAGATCTGAAATGCTCATCAAACGTCTAGCTCTAGAGCAAGAGATCCTTGACATGGCACGCTGATAAGAGATCAGCGGCAGCTTTATAATCGACAGCCAACTTAGCTCAAGACTAGACCAATATGGCGCCGATGGCACATAACTTGTAAGGCCCGACATCCAGACGTTACCATAGCATGTGGCATGAAGGAACGTATAATAAAACACACCGCAATCTTTATAACATTATATGTGTTCTGTACAGCGCTTAGGTTATTTTAATATTTGATATTTGATAACATTGCACTGTTAGTATTTTCTAGGTGCAAACTGCATAACTTTTGGCCAGCTTTTTGAACTCTGTTTATGGTATAAGCGGTACGCCTCCCAAAGTAGAGAAGTACGAAGTACGAAATACGACACACGATTATACGATAAGATACGATAACACGATATACAACCACTTTGTACACTGGTAAAATGACCAGATTATGCAGTTATAAGAGATAAAACACGAAACAGAACAGCAAAATAAACCCCCAAAAGCAAGGAATATGTCTGATAAAGCAGACCTTATAACCAGATCCGAATGAATACGAGATCAAACCCATCCATTTACAACGCTGGATGAATGCTCATTGTTGGGGAACTATGATGTCAAGCAAAACGGCTGCTAAAAATGGCGTAACCTTCGCCATCGGTGATATGGAATCTTAGAATGGCATAATACAATGTCTTATATAGAATGGCAAGGGAGTAAAATGTTAAAAAATCTACCTCATCCCCCTCTAGGCTCTGAGAGACCAGAGCTGCTTAATAAGTATTTGCAGCTCTTCACACACTTAAAAAAAAACAATCACAGGCATTTTACAAACATCACAGAATACCCATCACATTCAAAGTTCTCCCCCGTTTCCTCCCAAGCCGTGCCTTCATAGTCGTAGCTCCGACGGTGGCGCCGCCTTCCGTTGGGTCTCCACACTCTGAAAACAGAGGCGTGCGTTGTGGCTCACCTCCGGCGTCGGTGGCGCCATCTCTTGTGCCCCGTTTCAACTTGAGCTTGCGTCGTCCGCCGCCGGAGTCGGATGTTGAAGGTTTGTTCTGAGATTTCCCGGCGCCCAGACGTGAGAAAACGGACGACGTCGGACGGACGGCAGAGACATCTACCGGGGAACAAAGGAAACAATGTTAGATCTGCAGTGAATTCCAGGGCAGGAGTAAACACAATCCTTTTGAAAAATCGTAAGGTCTATTATCTGGGTACCAATCATGAAGGCTATGAATTTCACCTGAGCAAAAGTCACTCCTAGGGTAGACTTTTGCCTCTGCCGGATAAAAGGATGCACCAAGACTCCCGCCCAATCGGAAAAAAAGAAACGCAAAATTGCAGTTACTGAAAACCTGAATATTTGTATGTTGTTGGCCTCCAAACATCACAGAATATCCATCACATTCAAAGTAGAAGGGTTTTCTGACTGAACCCAGACTGAAGGGTTTTCAGTTACTGAAAACCCTTCAGTTCATTTCTTTTGCGGGTCGACAACCACGCCGGGTCATTCGATCCCCTTCAACATTTTTTTTTCTCGTTACGAGCGAGCGAGCGCAGCGAGCGAGCGAGTTCATACTGAATTAACACGCGCAGTGAAAGGGGGGGGGGGGCGGATTTCGCCTACCCCTCCTGTTTTTCGCCAATAACTCGCGCGGCAAACATGATATTAATGTGAAATTTTGGCTACCTGTCCAAAATTGAATTGCGGATCTTCTCGTGCAAGAAATAAGAAAATCGGTTCACAACTTTTCTAGTAAGAGCGATGTCAAGTCAAACATCCTGCCGCCGCGGCGGCGCGGCGGCGCGGCGGCCGGCGCTAGCCGTTACGCGCCGCCTGAATTGTAGACTGTGCCGGGGCGGGACGGTTCCGTCTTTACATCGCGCTCCTTACCGCTGATTATATTCGATTCGCGTAAAATTTTGTGAGGAGACTAAGAAATGTACAGGCAATCTCATGGTCAAATAATTTTGAAAATCGGCCGGTAACAACTTGAGTAATGAGTGTGTAAACACAAAATTGTGATTGCCGCGTTTCCCGCGTCGGCCGATCCCGCTTCAGCCGGCGATATCTTACTCTTAGCAGGCTTCTAGCTGCCATATTTATTGTTGGATTAACTAGAAATTCACCATACATACTCACAACTGTATGTTCTTTCGTATAGTGAAAGAAAAACGAAAATCGGCCGGTAACTTTTTGAGTTATCGGCGTGTAAGCGCAAAAAAAGTCGCTAATATGGCAGATTTGACCACATTTGACCTTGAAGATATTGACCTAGGGTCATGAAACTCACACACAACAGAGTTCCCAAAGGCCTTCACCTATCCTCCAAATGTCGTCTTTCTAGCTCCAGTGGGAGCTGAGATCTTAGGGGGGGGGGGGGGCGACATCCGCCCCCCCTTCCACTGGGCGTAGTACTCGCAACCCTTCCACTGCGCGTGTTAAGGGAAAATCCTGAGTATGAGCGGCCGGCCGGCCGGCCGTGGGGACGCTCTTCAAAAGCTAATATCTTAGGAACGGGACATCCGATTGACAAGCGGTCTTCTTTACTGAATGTCACTTGGACGTAAAAGTTCTGTGGTGTGATGACCACCAAGCGTTCTTGCCAACCACCGCACGTGGCGCGTGGTAAAGTTGGACATTTAAAAAAAAACCCAAAATTGCAACCTCAATAACGGCACAACAGTTGGGCCGATTGAATTGAAACTCGGTACACAGTTAGGTCTCCATCAAATAATTCATCTGCATGTGTTAAGGTTGGAGTGCTACAGCACGTGAGCACGTGCAGGGGGCGCTCCCAGATCTCGAGAACGGCTGGGCCGATTGCGCTCAAATTTGGTACACGGTTGGCCGTTGGGGACCAGTTAGTAGGGTGCCGTGCAAAAGTCAGTTTGGACCCCGCTTGCACGTGCGCACGTGCAGAATGCCGCTTCCAGATCTCAGGAACGGCTGGGCCGATTGCGTTCAAATTTGGCACACCGCTAGCGACCGGTTAGAAGGGTGCTTTGCACAAGCCCGTTAGAAGTACGTACCTTCTCGCCCTTGCGCACGTGCAGGGCTCACTATCTCGCTCGCTCGTTCTTCGCCCAAAAGGCGTTTTACTGGTCATAACTATCAGCTATGTGTTGAACCTTTTCCAGAATACAAAGCACTATGTAGACTCAAGTCTGTTCCATGTCACGCTTGCGGCCGAAATGCCAGTCTGCTGAAAGCAGTGCTTAAAGGTAGTATGCCAGCTTTCCTGGACCGTATGGAGTTAATGGCCCAGATAAGGAGAACCGGATTTTTAGAACTTATCCATACCTTCAAAACTCATGGAAACGTCTTAAATTCTTCAAATTTTGAGTACCCCAGTGCGAAATTCGCCCCGACGGGTTGTCGGTCGTACCCCAACCGCATTTCACACCACTATGAACAATAAATGCACACACTGAAATCGCTATTACCGATATGCTCATCCAATCAAGTTTCGATAAACCCGTTCATCATCAGCTCCTGCGGTTTCGAACACGCGTGTTAGGTGGTGCGGTAGACCGCGCCCAAAGCCAGGGCCCCGGTAACGTGAGGTAGCCGAGTCAGGGCAGCGTGCGCTGACCCAAGCCGGAGCCGCGCGTCCTCCCGGTGTCATGTGATAGCCCGGGGCTGCCCGCGGGGATGCGGTAGACCGCGCCCAAAGCTGCGGCCCCGGCTTGGGTCAGCGCACGCTGCCCCGACTCGGCTACCTCACGTTACCGGGGCCCTGGCTTTGGGCGCGGCTTCTGCTCATACTTTGTGGTGCGGTGGTGGTGCGTCGGGCTGCGCGCTCTGACTTCGGCCAAGAAAAATGCGTCAGCTGATCATTGTCATTTCTGCCTTTCTGCCACTTGCGTGTGGTGAAATGGGGTCATAACTTATGAGACGGCTTTTTCATATCAATTATTTTACATAAAATCATATTTCAAACCATAAATAATGTTCGACAGCCAAATAAAAGAAACAATACCAATACGGGCTTACAGTTTAAGGCTCGACATTGTGTTGTCTACGATTAGACAGCTGATAACTCATTCCCGTACGTCGTATGGTCGTAACACTATAATGACCTTTGCTTATTGTCACATGTGCGCCGCATTCGCGATTGTTGCCGACGCCTGTTTACAGGTGAGCCCACTACAGTTGTTATGCATATCTAAAAACCGATAAATTTTTAGGCGAAAAAGGCACTATTCCAGGCCCATTTTGATTTTTTTTGCGATATTAGGTAAAAACAGAAGCTTCTTATCCTAGGAAAAATAAAATGGGAAATCTTTCAAAGGTGGCACACTACCTTTAATTTCTGTAGGTCTCACATTCAAAGGCGTAAATTTCTGAACGGAGTAGCGAACTGCCGAAGGAACTCCGACCGCAAGCTTGACATGGAACAGACTAGATCCATTAGCTCTCCCTTTCATCCGTTTATTTCGCTCACCAGTCGTTTCGCTGGACTCCTTCGTCTTCTCTGTCTGCCCGGTCTCCGCCACTCTGCCGACGACCACCACCCTCCTGCCGCCGCCGTCCCCTCCTCCCTCTGCCCTCCTCCTCCCTCTCTCCCTGCTCCGTGCTCTATCCCGGGGCCGGCCGGCCGGACGGCGGTCAGAACTACCGCCCCCGGTATCGGCTGGGGGGGGGGGGGGGTCAGTGTTATGTCAGAAAAGCCGCGCTACTCTGAGACGATATTCGGTGTGAGTTTTCTCCTGAAGAGCCTGACTCAGCGAAATAATGACTGAAGCGGATACGTAAGATTATGAGGCTAACAGCATACGAGATTCTAGCACCAATGTTTTCGCGATCTTCACATGGGTTTTACTTTTTATCGATAACAGCAGGATAAAACGCGTTATCTCGTGCAGCAGAACCCGAAAAGACATAAAAAAGAAAAGCTGCAAGCAATGGAACCAACAAAGTGACACAAGACTGAGCAATGAACACATTCACGGAAAATCAAAGTCACTTTAGAGTGGCTTGGGAGCTACCAAAGACCAACAAAAGCAGCACATCGCTAAGGCACCTGGGCCTCGTTTCATAAAGCGAGTCCGTAATTTACGCCGGTTTTTGGTCTTGTATTGCAAGTGCGTGTGAAGCGATGACGATAGTTTGAATCGTTGAGTTTATTTATCTTGCAAGCAAGAACAGATGGGAGAAGGGGAAATACATTTAGCGCTTCACATACGCTTGCAATTCAAGCCCCAAAACCGGCGTAAGTTACGGACTCGCTTTATGAAACGAGGCCCGGACGCTGAACAGAGGTCAAACCCACCTTTGGTCCCGGCTGCGCTGGCCGCTCCACTGGAGGCCGGACCGGCGGTAGAGGGCGAGTCGAGGTCATCCAGCTCCCTCTCCATCTCCAGCAAGTCGCGTCCAGCCCCAGGTCCAGTGCGTCGCCAGCCGACTCTCGGCGACTCAGCTGACGCTGTGGGACGTACTATGACGTCATAACTAGGGCTAGGGATTTGGTGGGAGTGCGGTATCAGCGCTGTCGGGAGAATTCGGCACCAAAGGTGCGTTCGCATGAAAAAAATATCACAGCATTAGTTCTGGACAGATTTTACATGGTCATTTATGGTCACATTGAAGTTGAAAAATTCTGAATTCAACACCAGTTAGATTCCGAT